CATGTTCCTTTGGAAAGCATCACTGGCCCGATTCACTTGTGCGTTTGTGCGATCTGGAGAGACGATACACGGGGATGAAAGAGAAGGAACGAGAACGAATGAGCAAGCTTGATTGCAAGGCGAGCGAATGAGCAAGCTTGATATCAAGGCTTTGGTAACCAGCTCACTTGGTGCGTTTGTGGTCTTGCGTGCTCTTTAGGTCTCTCTTCACCATCAGAGAACCGACCAGGAGGGTGGGACGCCCCACTGTTCCGGCCTTTACAGCTTTTGTGGCCGTAAAGGGCCTTACGGGGCCAAGCAAAAACCCCCCCGAGCCTCTACACGAAAGACCAGCCGTAAGGACCCTTACAGTCGTGAAATGTGCAGAGGTTTGGGAGCCATTTTGAACATAAAGGGGCCTTACGGGGTACAAATAGAGCCCTTACTGGCGGTGCCAGCACCTCTGGTCTTTATTGGGTTTTGCAGGTTTGGGAGCTTGGATGCCAGAGAGCTCAGGCGTAAGGACCCTTACGGCCATGTAATGGACTGTGTCTCCGGGGCCTCTGGTGGTTTTGGGAACTTTAAGGGACCCTTACGGGGTTGAAGTGGGGTCCTTCTGCCGATGCTATTATTTTCAGGTTTGGGGGCTGGGAAGCCAGAGACCGGGTGTAAGGCCCCTTACGGCCATGACATTTTCCGATTTTGTGGGGACCTTTGCTACCTTGCGGGGTGGTCGTGGAACTCTTTCATTTCACCAGGGCCACCAGCAGTGGTCTCTATTGGGCATTGCAGGTTTGAGAGCTGGGTTGCCACAGAGCTCAGGTGTAAGGACCCTTACGGCCCTGATTTGAAGAGTGTTGTGGGGCCCACTCTTGCTTTCTGGACCGTAAAGGGCCCTTACGGGGTTGAACTCTCGTCCTGGCGCTGGTGCCTGCAGCAGTGGACCCTTACTGCCATGATATGAACAATGTTGTCGGGCCCACCGATGGTTTTGGGAACGTATGGGCCCTTACGGGGTTGAAGCAGAATCTTTCTGCCGGTGCCTCCTGCAGCGGTCTCGGTGCCTCCGGCGGTCTTTAATATTGCGCCGGTTTGAGAGCCTGGCATACCCCTACGTCCATGGGATGAACAGCGTTGTGGGTCCAATGCTGTCACTGTTGGTGAGACCGTAAGGGGCCTTACGGGGTGGTTGAAGCGGAGTCCTTCTGTCAGCTGAAGCGAACAAGGAAGCATAAAAGTTGCCACACATCCAAGATGCATTGCTTGCGTTCTTTCACTGATGCGGCTCCACGATCTGGAAAGAGGACGCTGGAGGATAGCCAAGCGGCAAGCTGTAAGGGGCCTTCCGCCGGTCTTGAAATCATACCAGCGGTGGCTTCTGTGCGCAGCGTAAGGGCCCTTACAGCCCAGAAACGGTGCCAGGCGGTGGCTTCTGTGCGCAGCGTAAGGGCCCTTACAGGCCAGAAACGGTGCAGCGTTGTGGGGCCCACTGACTGTGGGGGTCTTCTAGTGTATGGCGGTGGCTTCTGTGCGCAGCGTAAGGGCCCTCACAGCCCAGAAACGGTTCCAGGTGGGATGGCCAGCGTTGTGAGGCCCACTGAGTGTGGATTCTTCCACTGTATGCCCGTTTAACTTGGGATGACCAATGTAGTGCGGCCCACTGCCTGGGGATTTTTTCACTGTATGTGGCCTTACGCTGTTCAAAAAGACGGCGCTGGAACAGTGCAGCAGGATTTGGAGCTCGTGAAGGCTACCTGGGGAGCAGTTGGCTCGAAGCAAGCCCTGAGCATTGTCATGGGCTCTTACGCCGCCAAGCAGGGGGCAGCGCGTAAGGGGGCATACGGCGCCTTGTCAAACTCATTCCCTCTTAAGCGCGAGCTTCCTTACATCAGGGTCTGCACTCCCCCCTTCAGTTAAGAGTCTCTCATTCTCTCATTCCCCTTATGGTGTGAGGATGTTTTTCACCAAGTTGTTGTATGAAGGGGGTACTGATACCCCTTTGTTGCATCAGGGGGGGAGGCCCCCACTGATGTAAGAGTAGGGGTCTTAGAGACATTAAGAACGGGGTACTGATACCCCTTTCTTACGCAACACCATACACCCTTCTTACATCAAGGGGGGGCGCCCCCCCTTGATGTAAGAGAGGGGTATCAATACCCGTCTCGTTCAACCTTAAGCAAAATTTTCTTGGCCAGGGTTCCTTCAGAGCGGAAGCAGCTGACCTGGCTTTGGGAAATGCCAGTCAGTATGACTGTGGAGGGAACCTGTTCTGGATCGACTTTGCTTTCTCTGCTGTGCCCACTTTTGTCAGCCAGCATGCAATCGAAGTGTTGCGCTTAGACTACTTCTCGGAGCCGTGTGCTTGGCCAGCGGAACTGCCCGTGGTGGTGGCAGTTCAGCCTGCCTGGAAAGCCAAAGACATTCAGAAGCATTTCGGCAGTTTGCACAGGGTCTCGCCGGAAGAGATAGACGCAGCTTTCATCAAGGCTGTTGCTGAGGAGATACGGGCCGGCGCAGCTGAGGATACCCTCAAGCCGCTGGACTGAACGAGATTGATCAGAGTTTCCGTTCAAGCAGTGGTGCTCCTTTTTTGTGATTCGCTGAACAGAGTGCCATTGAACAGTGAGCGGGAGCCCGCTTTTGTGCGACCCCCAGCCAGTTCGACACACACATCGGTCACTAAGGTGCTGGATGGACATGGCCTTGTCGGTCAACTTCAGCTTTCAGATAATGGACGGGCCATAAGAGCCATTTCTCTTCGAGAGAAAGCGGTCACCAACTTCGAAGCCTTGGCTCGGAGCTGCAAAAGGTTCAATCGGAGCTCAAAAGCAAGGCGCACAGTTGCTTCACATAAACACGCTGT